AAAAAAAAAAAATTTGTACATATTTGAAGTGAACTATTGAACTGACCCCAATAGGGTTGTAAGTATGCCAGAGTTGAGTTCGACTTATTAACGAGCTCGTGAGTCGGCCCGAATCACTAATCAAATTTTTTTTAATATTATTTATTTATTTATTAAATTTACAAATCCTGACACTATTCATGTGGGCGGAAGTCGGAACGAGGCAAGCGTCGTTGTTTAGAGATGGTACGAGTTGGAACTTGGAACGAGGAGGGCGTGCGTGGGGACTCGGAACGAGACAAATGACGCTTGAGGCTGATGATGCAGAGGCGGACAAAGCGAAGGCGGATGATGCGGAAAGCAATCCAGACCTTCGACGCTCACGAGCCGGATCAAGCTTGTTTACGGTGGGACTATTTCGAGTTCAACCTCACCTTTTGAGCTCGACTCAAGCTCGAGCCGACCTTCTGACTGACAAGTTGAACTCAATAAGACCACTACTCGACTTGATTTGACCCGTTTACACCCCTAAACCCAAATGCTATTCTATCTCTATCCTCAGCTTATTTATTTTCGAAGTTTTATAGAAGCCTCTCCATGTGCTTTGTTACTTATTTGATTGATTTATTACTCCACAGTACACTTTGAGCTTGTAAACCAATAAAATCGTCAATTGCTTTGAATCGAAGATTGTAAAGCTGAAGCCCCTTTGCTCTTCGAGTCTTGATCCTCACCTTGAGAAGGTCAATTTATTTAACCATTAGTCTGGGAATTTGGAGCCTTCTTTGCAATCTGTGACAAAGGCACAAAGCTGCTCCTTCTATGATAATAATGGCCTCATCTGCACAAATATTCTCACTCGAAATAATGAAATTTTCTCAATCTTAAGTCCTTTAATTTGGGCAAATTAAATATCACACTGGTAAATTGGGATGCATTTCTAAATATTTGAATTTATTTTAAAATTAGAGTAATCTTAATTATTTACTCAAAATAAATTTAAAATTTTAGACACTTTATGACTGATTTTATATAAAAATATTTTGATATAAATTTTTCATTAAAATAATTTATATATTCTTCAGCATTAGAGTTTGTTTGAGACATAATTTTATTTTATTGTAGATTTTCTAAATATTTTCTCAGCTAAAATTTTTATCTTGATTTCTCAAATGTAATTTTTTTAAAAAAAATAAAATTTAAAAACATTTATATATTTTTAATCAAAAACATTATTTTTAGATAAATAGTGGATGAGAATATTCTTATTATGAATTTAAAAATTTACAATGCATCATAATTAAATCTTAACTCCAATTTTTCTTTTCCTTTTTTATTGTTATTCTTTCTATAAAAATACATATACCAAGCCATGTATTTTGACTTTTGATTTTTTTTTTTGGGACGAATATCCACCCGCTGGCACTCTCAAAAAGGATGCTTGGCGGCATGATTAATCCTCAGTTGATCTAGAAGAGGCACTCACCCTAAAAATCTTTTGACCCGCATTTGATTGGACTCTACATAAGAGGCCTTTTAGCTCGAGGGGAATCGAGCATTGATTAAGAGTTTTGATTTTTAATTGGTTGCCAACTTTTATTCCTTTAACAGAAATTTCTTCTTCTTTTTTTCATTCTCATGGCTCGATTCATTTGAAGTTTGGCAGTTAACCACCACTTGTTGCCCATTTCCTCTCAAAATTCCCAAATGAATTAGATAACAATCACTCAAAGTGCTCACGTCTTATTAAACCAGATTTTACTCTCTTCCAACCATCCCACTATGAATCCCAATTCAACACCACTAGAACAAAAATCCCCCATACCAAAATGCTCCTCCTTCCTCTTCCTCTTCCTCCCCATTCTCCTCACCCCACTCATCCTCCTCCAACTCCAATCCCTCAACCCTTCCCTTCCCATCTCCTTTTGCCCAAGCCCATCCTTTTCTTCCCACCTCTGCAACCAAACCACCTTCCTTTCCATGCTTCGCCACTCTATCACCTTCCTCCCCCTTAAAGACCTCCGCTTCTCCCACAACCCCATGGCTGGCAACACCTGGTTCATGAGCTCCCTTCCCGACTCCCCTGACTCTGTCGGCGAGCCCTACTACATCCGCTTACCCTCCACCTCCACCAACAACCGCCTCCTCTGCATCTCCGCCTCCGACCCTCACGACGGTTCCCGCAACTCCTACGCTCTCGCATATCCCGAAGCCCTCCCTTACAATTCCACCTTCCTCCCGGGCTTCACCTTCGTCTCCGACACCTTTTACGATTACAACAATTTATGGCATGGCCTCGCGGCGATCCTTCCGTTTGCGCGGTGGCACGCGGCGAACGGATGCGCATCGCCGGAAAGGTGGTTCCTTTTCCATTGGGGAGAGGTGAGGAAGGGGATGGGAATGTGGGTGAGGACTTTGGCGGAAGTTTCGACTGGTGGGAAGGTGAGGGTTGTGGAAGGAGGTGAGGCTGCAGGGGTGGTTTGTTTCGAGGAAGCGGTGGTGGCGCGGCGGAACGATGTTGGGATGAGTAATGAGAGGAAGGAGGAGGTATATGATTTGATGAGGAGTAGGGCGAGGATTTATTGTGGTTTGGAGAGGAACGGGGGAGGGAATCTGGGGGAGATTAGGATGACTTTGCTGTTTCGGGTGGGATCGAGGTCGTTCAAGAACGAGACGGCGGTCGCCGGAGTTTTTGAGAGAGAGTGCGAGAGAGTGGACGGGTGCAGGGTTCGGCTGGTCCGGTCTAGTAATTTAACGTTTTGTGAACAGGTTTGGTTTGCTTTGGCGAATTTACATATTTATCATATAGTTTTTATTAATTTATATATTTAATATTTAAAATGTTATATTTATTTATATAATATTTTAATATCTTAATTACATTAAAATATATGCATCCTTAAAATTATTTTATTTGAAAATGTAATATTAACAATATTTATGATATAATTTTAAATTTAAATATTGTACATGTAAATATAATTTTTTCAAAGTTTAATATTTATATTACATAAAATTTTTAAAATTGAATTAATATTTTTAAATATTAAATATTTATAACCAGATAGTATACAACTCAAAAATCATATTATTATGACATTCACAGTGCTTAGGGGGAATCCAAATTTTTTAAATTAAACCCGTCGGGTCAACCCGACTCGTTTTTGCAAACGAGTCGGTTTCCGGACTCGAACCCGACGCGCTTCGGATCAACCCAAACCCGAAAACTTCGGGTCGGGTTCGGGTCAGGTCCAATATTGACAGGTCTACTCCTAATTGATTCATCAAAATACTGACATTTTATGTGACCAAATCATTTAAGATGACTGACTCTCTCTAATCTTATATGCCACTAAAATTGTTCCAACCTTTTCATGTAATTAGGATTTTATTTGAGATGATTTTTTAAAGCAACTTTTTACTATAAAAATTAATTTTTTTTACTAAAAAAACTGTTTTAAGAAGCAGAAAAATGCTGTCCCAAAGAAAGCCTAGATCTTCATATATGCAATGATAAAAATAATAATAAAGTTAATAAGTGAATAGTCACATCCTTTCACTCTTATTTGTAATAAAAAAAATATGAGACTTAAGTAGTTAAGTACAATAAACTCACTAAATTTATGAAAATTAAATGAACCCATTAGAACTGTTTATGAGTTAAGACCCACTTGATCACTTCAAGTTTTTTTTTAATCAAATGAGCCCTTTAATCCATCGCACTGAGCCAAACATTAAATGAATGACATCATAATCAAATTTAATATCAGTCCGAGTTTGGTTAATGACTAGGCTGTTTTAAGAGGGCAGCTCCTCCTACTGGCACACGTGCGTTTCAAACGTAATGCGCATTAAATTACAATACGGTCTCCACTCACGTGCCGTTCCCGTTTTGCTCTTTCGAGTACTGAAACATGGCCCCACCAGCGAGTCTCGAATGGACAATACCCAGAGCCGGTTCCTCCGGTCCAGCTTTTTCCTCCCGACCACCGTCTTCTTCTCCAGTCCTTCATCAACGGAGCGATTTAAGCAAATCTCTCTCTCTCTCTCTCTCTCTCTCTCCTATGTTTTTGCGCTAATAGGAGTTCACATATTCGATATTAAAGATAAAAATTAAAATTAAATGGTAAAGAAAAAACAAAAAAAATAATTCCCAATTTATTTTTTTTATGTTTTTTATTTTATTTTATTTTATCATTGGGAATAGATGCATGTTGATGGCAGAGGAGAATAAGATCGAGATTTCAAGTTGGGCCTCAGCAAGATTTGAAATTATTACATGTGGTCACCAAATATAATTTGGAGGTCAATTAAGGCATGTCATGTAATTAATATTGTGTACCATTGTGTATCGGATGATATGATATATCATGATTAATCTCCGAGCAATCCGGTGATCCCACATAATAACCTCTCCAGTAGAAAAAATTATTCTGTGCGGACGCCGAATGTTATCCAAAAATCAATCGGAATGAGTAATATCACCTTTTTATTTGATACTGCGGCTCAATATTACTCAATACCACGATTTTATAGTGCCGATATGATCTCTAAATTTTTTTGGGGAAATTATGATCTCTAAATTTAAAACTATCTTCGGCGCAGAAAGATTTCTCATCAAAGAGGAGGATTCCAACCTTTATGCGGTGATTATCTAACGTAAGAAAGAGAGAAACGCTGTCCGCTCAGCTCACATGAGCCACTGTACATAAAAGTATGGGTTATTGCCATCAAGATGTTGATTTGTAAATTATTTATTATGAATTTTAATATTACAGAAGTGCAGTACTATCATGTCAGAGATAATGTCTTTTATAAAAAAATAATGCTTTCTTTCATCAATCAATTAATTCTCATGATAATCATCTTTGTATATTTTTTTATTGTGACAAAGTATATATGATTTAACATTTTAAGAAAATTAACTGTTTTGCATACTTCTCGAATTATTAATATAAATCCGCCTATTGTTAAATTTTACTCGACTAATGATTACTGCAAAAGTTGTATGAGCTGCGATGGTTTAAAATCCAAATTATTTTAAAATAATAAAATATAATTTGTTTAATAATTATTTTAAAATCTAAGTAAAAAAAATTCTTTGATAAGGTTACCCGGTGTCAAACTGTATTACGGTCTTAGCTCTTCAGTGGGACAACGTAAGTATGGGTCGATGCCAGGAGGTGGTTAGATTCAGCCGAGAAATTACTTACGTTGCTAAACATTATCTTTGAAGTGGCAGTGAATAGATATTTTCGTTAAAAATGAATGAACTATGAAGGATCGTCATACACCCATAATTGCATTAGAAAGCATTTTGATCTGCGATAAGTGGCAATCAATCAATCCTCAGTGGCAGGAATTCCTCATAGGATTTTTGTCCCTTTACCCGGACCCATTCATCGTTATTTTGTAGTTTGAACTTTGAACTCGGTGGCCACATCTGTGATTGGGCTTGCTAGTGGCAAGGAGGGAAAAGCATTCGAACAAGTCAAGCCAAACATAGAAGTGACTAATCATGATAACAAAGAAAGCTACTCTACTTAGCTATCACTCTCTCTCTGCCTTGAAGCTGAGGCTGAAGCTGAAGCTCAGGATGGAGGTGTAGAGAGAGAGAGAGAGAGCGGTGAAAAAGAAAAGATTCTTGTGTCTTTTCACAGCCATACCCATCTTTTCTTTTTTGGGATTTTGCTGGATTGTTGAGGTATGGGGGAAGCAACGCGTGGGCAGGAAGTGAGAATTACTGTGATGTGTGGAGGAAAGAAACATAAGCGTAACAGTGACAAAGACAGGGAAAAGAGGAACAAAGACAAGGATGATGATCACCTTAGGAGACAAAGGAAGATGCCTTTTTTCCCAACAACAACCCTTTAATTTCCTTCTGCTCCTCCTTCTAATGGAGTGAATGTTAATGCACTACTAATTAATGTCTGCAAATTAAGCTTTCAAAACTTTGATTATCATTCTACTCCCGAAAAAGCTTCACTTCAAGCACATTATCAACTCTTAAGAACAAAAAAAAAAAAGTGCTTTTTTGGACAATTTTTCTACTATTTTATGTTTTAGGTTGTAATTATAATTTATTTTTAGTTATTTATTTTTTATTTATTTATAAAAAATATATTGCTATTCAAGTTTGGGTGTATAGTGCGACCCCAATATTGATGTCGTATGGTTCACCCCCTATTTTTATATAAATATATGATTAAAAAATATAAAATAAAGTATAAAAAAGAATTTAAATAGAATTTTTTTTGTTAGAAAATGGAGCTCAACTAAAAACGAATTACTGCATTTAGTGTATTATTATATTTTGAAGTTAAAATTGAGTTCTTAGGTTGGATATGCCCTAAATATCCTAATTGATAGTCTATGGTCACACTTCATTAGTTTTTAACACTCTAGCCAAGCATCATTTCTCAAAACTTTGTTGTGATTGACATAAAGGAATGAAATGCAATGTAAATAATTTATTAGATGATTTTGAATTTGTGTCATCATATTTTTTTATTTTTTTTGCATTTTCTTATTTTCATTCACTCGGGACTCTTACAATCCAAATGCAATGAAAAAAATTATGACCCATTAATAACAGAGGAAAGTTATTTTTTTCATGCTTATAAATTTAGAAATCTCATGTTTTATAATTTATTTATCACTCAAAAGTTCCTAAAAAAATTTAAATATGGAATAACAATTTTACATAGGTAAAAATATCTCTAAAATTTTCATGAGTCTGAATAGATTAAATTTTTTATACATTCATGAAAAGTATAGCAATATTGTCTTTGTATAGCTTAATATAAAATGACAATTTCAATTGATCAAATTCAAGTCAAGTTAGTTATTTAAAATGATACTCAATTTCATTTTTAATATGACACAATAGAGAAAATGAATTCATATAGCCTACCACATTAGTGGGATAAAAACTTCTTATTGTTGTTGTTGAAGTTTTGTTGATCAATCTTCAGCAACGAGAAGAGAAAAAGAAAAAAAAAATTCTCAATCTTGCCTTCTCAAGAGAATCTTCATCAAGCAAAAACATCTTCATTTTCTTATAATATTAGACTTAGCACCCGATATAGTTCAAGATTCCTATTTTGAATATATGAAAAGAATAGTGATCATGTAAATCATATTGCTCGTATTGAGTAAACAATATCATTGATATATTGGCTCGTTGGATTCATCTCGCCGAGACGCTCGATTTGACTATAAGCATGTCATATTTGAATATCATTTTATTATTCAAATAATGCTTTAACCCTTCCAAATGTGGTCCGGGCCCCCGATTTGGACCCATTTGGGCTTTGGTTGGACCAATTTCGGTGTTGTTCGGTTCGTCCCTTTGAGATGTTCAATTTGATTGTAAGTTTGCTGAAAAATTCCCATTTGAATATGCCTCGAGATTCGTGCTTGATCAAGGCAATTTTTTAGGACGTATCAATTTTAATATAAAAAGAAAAGTCTAAAAGAATAATGATTTTTTTTTAAATGCCATTCTCATTTTCCCTAAATTTTGGAAAACAGATAAGTGAAAAAAGGAAATAAAAAAAAAAACTGAAAACAAAAGGGAAAAAAAGAGAAAAGGGAAGGGGAAAATCCGGTTTGGGCGACTTCGAGCCAATTTCATCAGTAGGCCCAATTAAAAAACTTTGTGAAATGTGCTCAAGAGCAATGTAATTTTTTCAAACATCTAATCGACCATTTCTTCTTAATACTTAAAACTTTTTCTCGTACTTGTATCCATCAGAAGCAATTAATGTATTCATTAATAATGAAAATTTTACAAGCTTAAGAAGTCGACTCGACCTTGTCTTCCTTGCCTACTACTTCTTCAATAACACCTCTAACATAGCAATTCGAGCTTGAGATGACAAACTTCTTTTTTTCCTTATAATATATATTGGACTCGACAAAATATGAGCATCTCCAATCAAAAATCTCATTTTTCACTCAAAAATGTCGTGAAACTACAAAATGTCTCGATTCATCTCCAATCGAGCTCTACTTTTCACATTTTTGCAAGTAACGGTCCTCTCTTCTTTCCCGCATCAAGTTCAGTAGAGAGGTAAAAATGACGAATATGAACAGTGCAACACCAATATTGGCGTTCCACTGTTCACCCGCAGCCAAATAGTAGAAAATTTGCGGTTCGCCTGGAGCTGACCAGGGACGCTATTCTAGCGGTTGCAATTCAGTTGGAGATGCCCTAAGGCTTAGCTTGAGGTTATTTATCTGACTATAAAGTTCAACGGTTCTTATATCGCTCAAAATCTTGAAGTCGCCGCCTGCTTCTTGTAACAATCCACGTTGCATCATATTTTTTGATGAATTCTTCGCAATATTTCTTCATTTTCTGCTTGACATCCAAGTTCTTCGGAGAAATACCTCTGTGAAGCAAGGCCACAAAAATATTTTTCTTATTTTTTAAATTATTGCTCTAAGTTGGCTCCCAGGTCAACGTTCCTCTCAACCCACTTGTGATCAGTCACAGTAAAAAAGCCAGCTTGTCACTAACCTCGCGCCTTCAATGGCTTATGCTGGCCATTCGACGATGGCTTCTCAAAGTGTTTATTCTAGTAATAGGAAACAGCTACATTTATTTCAACAAATCAGACAAAAAAAAAACTAAATTATTAAAATATATACTAAAATAATTAGATATTCATAAAAATAGAACATTAAAGAAAAACATAGGATAATCTAAATAACCACTTGAAATCATGTTTAGAAATAAATTAATTTTATTATTATACCAAATATATGAAAACAGCATGATATAATTCTGTTTGAAATAAAATTATTTTTTATAATTTTAATCAAAATTTATAAATAGATGTTTCTTTGACTAAACATAACCTTAATGCTTATTTATAACCTGTAAAATATAAATAAGAGTCTGTTTGAGACATAGAAAGATAAAATCATCTTGCAAAAGATTTAGACTGATCGACGAGAAAAGAGGATAGAGAAATAAAAAGGAAAAGTAAAAGCCAAGGAATAGAAATGGAAATCACGCTGGAGCAAGCTTTAATCGTCTTGTCACCATCTCATTCGCTTTTGCCCGCAAAACCCTCCTCTCTCTCATTCTCTCTCTCTCTCTCTCATAAAATAGAGGAGAGCCGGGAACCATGGCAGAACATAAAGGTTTGCAGGAGGAAGCTCTGCAACTAGTGATTTCGAAGCTGGTGGATTCATCTAAGGACTGTGAAAAAAAAAAGCTTTCAG